AGAATCACCAATCTCCTTGGACCAGTCGCTCTTAAAGGACACACAGCTGGATGCTGGTGATGAACGTTCTTGTTTGAAAGAATCACCAATCTCCTTGGACCAGTCGCTCTTAAAGGACACACAGCTGGATGCTGGTGATGAACGTTCTTGTTTGAAAGAATCACCAATCTCCTTGGACCAGTCGCTCCTAAAGGACACACAGCTGGATGCAGGTTCAGGTTCATTCCTGTAAATAAAGGTGGAGCAGTGATCAGTGCTGAGCTCTGACATGCAGAAGAGTCGTGGACAGTTAAAGATGTCGTCTCACCTCTGAGCTCTGAGCTCTGGTATGATTCTCCTGATCACAGAGATCCGAGAGCCCTCACACTGATCCATGGTGCTGAACTCACATCAGCTCACACACTTTCTACCTTCACCTGCAGAGGAAACACATCATTTAGCACACATCCACTGAAGTCCTCCTGTTCATCATATGTACTGTAAAAACATCAGCTGCTCCTCCACTCATCCACTCTTATGTTGTGTTACTCTCAGCTGGATGGATCTAAAGGATCAAGCAGTGGATAAATAATGGATGAAGGATCTCTGATTGACACCATTATCAGTTGTCGTTATCATGATCTCTGACTGGAGTTGTAGGATTTGTCCAGCCTTCAGGTAAACTGGAAAACTTAGAGCAGAGAACACATGTAGGCAGACTTTGGGAAAACACTGCAGACTGGTTTATTTACTGAAGTACAGAAATAAAATCACCACCAGTGAGTCAACGAGGGCGGCGTCTCTGGCTACGACATTAACCTTAGTGGAACCTGAAGTCAACATAAAGTAACGTATCAGAGGATTTCTTTGTAGCTGAAGTGAACGTTAGCAAGCGAGCTAACTGCTAACAGCAGTCTGACAGCTGCTAAGCTCTGTGGACAGAATAATGCTAGTTAGCTGGTCGTCACTGAGCAAAGTGAGCTAAAGTTAACTTTATGGTGACAAATGAAAAATATTGTGTTGTAATGACTGTAAGTAACTCAAATGTTACTTATTCTGTAGTTATTGAATGTTATTATTCTAATTCAGTAATGTGTTAACTTAAATCTGTCATGTATTAATGTTTTATGCTTTTAATTTCGTTATTTAAGTAAATCGGAAGTGCTTTTGTTTTGAAGGGACATCAGACGGAAATTACGGAAACTGAAAAAATGTAACGTCGACGCCAACCATAGAAATGTGCTTTTTCTTTAACCATAGATATGTATAATAAATACATATTTATGACGCAAAGTTAAAGAGACAAAACATAAAAGGGCGAACGGGAGAGATTCATGAATGTAGCGGCCTTAGAGAGGGCAACAAGGAAAAACTTTTGTGTCTAATTGTCAGTTTATTTTATGTTTAGTGTGGACTAATTTTAGCAATGTGTTTAGCTAAATTCAATGTGTTGATGTTACGTACTTGTGTCTCGCTCTTACGTTGGTGACAGGAGAAAAGGAGGAGAGATTAAAAAGTGTTAAACCATCAGTCCAGACTTCTCATAATCTCGGCTGAGCCGCTACAATGACCATCAGTATACTTGATGACATTATTTAAGTCAGGATTAAACAGCGAGGAGCCGTACATTATACGGTTTGAATGCACGCAGCGGAGTTAAAACACGACGTCGTGGTGTTTTAGACTAACATATATGAACAATAATATAAGGTACGGCTCCTCGTTGTTTAATCCTGACTTTAACTAATCTACAGTAAATTGCGGGAGCTGACTATTAGAGCTGTGGAGCCACATTTAGAGTTTAAAACATCGTTTACTGACCTTCAGACGGAGAAAAGCAGCTGCGACACAACAACTGACAGAAGTGAAACTTAACTGAGGTAGGGTGGTGACGTCACCGTTGTCAGGGCAACGGAGCAGGAAACAGACTACTCCCTGATCGAAGAGTCTCGCGTGAGTTTTAGTAAAACGGGACTTCATGAAATGATTCTGTCATGCAAATGACAGAATCAATCCTAAGCCTCAGTTCCCAACGTGGTGCCATTCTATAAAGAGGAGCCCTTTACTACAATATACAGAAGAAAGAAGTCAAACACAGAACTGATGATTCAATTCTGTGGCANCAAGACTTCTGGGAGAATATTCTACGGACTGACGAGACCAAAGTGGAACTTTTTGGAAGGTGTGAGTCTCATGACATCTGGTGTAAAAGTAACACAGCATTTCAGAGACAGAACATCACAGCAGCAGTCAGACTTGGTGGTGGTGGTGTTATGGTCTGGGGCTGCTGCTGCTTCAGGACCTGGACCACTTGCTGTGACTGATGGAGCCATGAATTCTGCTCTCGACCAGAAAGTCCTGAAGGAGGATGTTTGACCATCAGTTTGTGACCTCAAGCTGAAGCGCACTTGGATTCTGCAGCGGACAACGATCCAGAACACACCAGCAAGTCCACTTCTGAATGGTTTAAAAAAACATAATGAAGGTTTTGGAGTGGCCTCGTGAAGGTCCGGACTTGAATCCGATTGAAGTGCTGTGGCATGACCTTAAGAAGGCCGTTCATACTCGAAAACCCTCCAGTGTTGCTGAATTAAAACAATTCTGCAAAGAAGAGTGGGCCAAAAGATCTCCACAGAGATGTGAAAGACTCATTGTCAGTTATAGAAAACACTTGATTTCAGTTGTTGCTGCTGAGGGCGGCACAACCAGTCATTAGGTTAAGGGGGCAATTACTTTTTCACACAGGGCAGGTGGCTTTGAATATGTTTTTCCTTCCTTTCCCTGATGATCTTAAACATTAAAGTGAGGAAAATATGCAACAAAAAAAATAAGAATTTGAGAAGGGGGCAAATATTTTTTCACAGCACTGTATACTTCACCAGATGTGGACACCTGAAAGTAAGCGGCATCTCGTTCAATTTAAAACTCACATGAGATTTATTGAACATTTCAATGAGGTGACAAATTATGAAAATGTTGGAATTTCAGCCAAAACAAAAGGCAGATGTCAGTTTCAGATGCCAAAGATCATCCCTACACAGCTTCAAGACATTCTGAGATGGTCAAGCAGCTGACCTCCCCTCATCCCACTGAGTTGACACGGAACGACCCAAAAGAACAAACTGTCAGAACCAACAATTATTAGAATGAAATAGAAAACCTGGATTCATTAATTTTACCTTTAAACACAACCAAGTGAAAAAATCTACATTTTCACAGGGTTTGAAATAGTGCAATAGCTTCTGAGACGAAACACAGCTGACATGTGATGGTTGTGATAAACAAGTGGAACACTGAATATTGCAGCTAATTGTCAGTTTACCAGATGAACCTAACAAAGCCGCGGCAGGCTCAACGCGTGGAGAAATCGAAGACGCACAGACCAAACGTCCAATGCTCTTCATGTTGTCCTGTTTCTTCTGCTTTGTTACAATCTCATGGCATTTCTCTCCATGCAATGCAGTATACAGCAAACAAACAACTGACTGTTACTAAACATGTAAAACTGTGCAAAGAAATGGTTAGAAACTACAAATGAAAGTGTGAAAAGAAACTATGGTCAACAAAAATGATCACCACGCGCTGACCCTGCCTCCATGCTTNGTGAACCACGGACAGTTTGCTTCACTTCATGTCCCACGTCACAGCAACACAACACACTTGAGCCTGATGAAGCAGCACCAACACGGTTAGCTTCATGCTGCTACATTTAGCTGCTAATCAGGCTCCGACTGCTCAGCTAGCTTGTTAGCATCGCTCATTCACATTAAAGCTAACATTTACTGGATGCTAACTCTCCTCTCTGGTCAGCACACACTGAAATAAACTGCACCAACTTCTGGCTTTACTGCACACATTATATTTGACTCTACAGTTGCATTTAAAGTCATTAAAACCGGCACCAATAAGTAAATATGTACAATGATCATTTACTCACCCAGCAGCTGTCGGAGTCCTTCAGTGTCTGCTGGTTCAATCAGCGGAACTGAAAACTGATTAAAACAAGACAACGGACAATAAAACTGTCTGTGGAACATGTTGCTGCTGCTCCACCCATAAATACCGACAAACTAAACCAAACTGTGTGGGGTGGTGTGTGATTTTATTGAATCAATACCATCGGTAGCAGAGCATGCTGGGACGGACACTGACCTGAGGATGCTGCTCAATCTTCTCTGTGGGGGCGGAGCGGGTGCGCCGGTTCGATCCCCGCTGACGGCGCCGGCAAACGGCGGCTTATTAATGCCGATACGCGGTTACGGCGGCTCGTTACACGTGCGGAAGAAACGGTGCAGTTAAAGCAAAGTAAAACAAACACTTGGCTACTGGCTACAGAGTATTTAATACCGTGTGCAGTACTGCTATGTACAGATCCTACATGTACACAGTACTGGACTGTAACACAGTGTACATAGAGACTGCATGCAGCTGTTAAAGTACTTCCAGAGGATATTTACCTGTCAGGATTAATGTCATAGTAGTAGTAGTAGTAGTAGTACACATGTACAGATCACATGTATACTACTACTACTGCGTTGGCCCTGACAGGTAAATCTCCTCTGGATGTATTTAACAGACACATGCAGAGTATGTTTACCTGTTAGGATCAACGTAGTGCTAGTATACATGTAGTCTGTGTGTGCTGATGTACGTAACTCTGCTAACAGACTGTGCAGCCTCAGAACCAGAACCAGGACCTCTGAAGAGGGTCTGCATCTCACTGATCAACAGCTTCTTCTGGCTATTATTAGGGTCCGAGGACCCCTACTTGCTGCAGCTTCCTGCTGCGTTTCTTTCTTTTCTTATTTTCCTGACGAACGCGTTACCCTTAATTTGACCCCCTAAACACGCTCAAAAACTCACCAAAATTGGCACGCAC